ACGGACACTTTTTCACAACAGAGACGGTTCTCCTTATCGCTACCCTCCATACATAAAACAAACATTTGAGCCTCCATTTCGAATTTTGTCAATCTTGTTCCGAATGTATCTTTTATTCGTGTTAATTCGGCGATTACGTTAACATAATTATTTATTATATAATTATATGAAGATAAAAGTGTGCGTCTCGGGTCGCCCGACAAAAGTGATAACTTAAACTAACCTAAGTTGAACTATTTAATATTGAAATAGTTCAACTTGAGACAGAGCTTAGGTTATTAATTAATTTTATGTATATTAACGTGGTAATGTAAGGAAAATTGTAACGTAAATTGAAAAAGATATATAAATAGTTAGGAGTCACATACGTTTTCAGTGCCGCCGCCGTGAGCGCGAGAGAAAGAGACGCCAGATATACTGGCGCCGTAACGCGTTACGTAACGAAGCGACTCTCCCATAAGGAGTCATCACTTCAAAAATCATATGAAAATGTTTTTCATTTTAAATTCGATCCCAAAGGCTGTGATATCCAGAATGTGTGTTTGTAAAACTTACACGCGCGGCTTAAACTTCTCTCGACGGCGACTATAGATTTGGTTTTTTCGTTTGGGATTTCTGTTGGTACGTGTGATGTTATTATATGTTTCTTGTGCCAAAATCACAATACACTAAGCGTAAGTACTGTCATAGCTTTAATGAATTCATGTTTGAGTTATAGCGTTGTCCAGAGGTCGTTGACTCCGCGCACCGGTCGAGTTTGGACGCATTCCATTGCGTGGGATGCTGGTCTGTAGCAATGGCGTTCGTAGGCAGACTAGCATGCGACCAACCGATCGGCGAGTGGTCGTGTCGCTCATGGACATCATCAAAGCCAGATCGACAACCGAGCTTACTGCTAAATGAGGTGGTTAGCGCAAAAGTGGCCTAAGCCACAATTTATCATATTTATAATAATTTTTTTATTACTTAGATGGGTGGACGAGCTCACAGCCCACCTGGGTTAAGTGGTTACTGGAGCCCATAGACATCTACGACGTAAATGGGCCACCCACCTTGAGATATAAGTTCTAAGGTCTCAAGTATAGTTAAGTACATATATTACAATTTATTTAAATGATAAATGCTAAACTGGCTTACTCTTAGTTTCACCCGTAGACAATAGATGGCTTTGTAAACATTATTTTGGTGCGTATTGTGTTTTTCTACAACGCAGTGTAAAAGTAAATTCAGACCTCATTATGTCCATACTGACTATAGTGAGCTTAGGGCACTTTTGCGATGACGGCCTCAAAGAAAGAAACTTTGGAATCGAATTGTTTTTAGTATGATCGTGTCCAATATTGCTGAAGCTACAGGCTATGTCCAGGCTAATTTCTATATTTATTTAGTCTTATTACCTACTACTTACTACTTCACTAGGGCTGCCTATTTCTGCCGTGAAGTAGTAAATAGGTAAGTCTGTTTCGGTTTGAAGGGCGAGGCAGCCGTTGTAACTATACCTTAGAACTCATATCTCAAGGTAGGCGGCAGCATCTACATTATTGATGTCTATGGACCACAGAAAATAAGCTAAAAATAATAATACACGTAACCTTAATTTTTTTTTCTTCTCTAGGCTGTTCTATTTGATGTATCAATTAAGTTTTATAGCATAAATAAAACGTGTTTGATAATTTTCTAGAAAGTCCCGATTCTGATGTCCACGTGGTGCTGTATAAGGACGAAGATTTATCGGAGATCGTGGAGGGAGCGCTGAAACAAGCCGATATGAACAATGACGGTTATATAGAATATGCGGAATTTAGAACTGTTGCCATGTAGGGCGTTTCCTCGACGACAGATGGCGCTGTTTTCAATTTTCATAATTTCCCTCAAAGACGTAAATAATATTAACACTTCTCTATTTATTAAGCACTACAGCATAATATTTTAAATTGTTATTTAACTGAAAGATTTTTTTACGATTTTTTTCTTCGTTTTTGGTCTATGTGAATTGTTTTTGGATTAGTCATGGGTTAGTATATCCAGTGGACGCTAGATGGCGCCTTGATTAGATTTACGGCTAGGAAAATAATTTGCGTCAACGAATTTTTCTTAAGCTGCGCGAAATAATTTCTGTTTTGTCAGCATATCTTGTCAGGATATTAAATTAAATCAATTGATCTAGTCACGTTGTGGATTTTTTACTGAATAAAACATAATTTAAAAATCATATAAAAATTGTCTTTTATTATTTCTGAAAATACCTAAACTAAAAAAAATATAATATCGAGGGGTGAAAGGTGGTTTAAGCGACATTTGTCTTTGTAATTAAAGGTCCGTTTTATTCGGTATCAGCATCAACAGTTCGATGTTTCTAATTGAACTTCAATTAAGTTTACACCATTCAAATGGCTGAAGAAGTTATTTTATGATATTAGTTTCCAAATTTTAAACTTTAAATGGCTCTCCTGTAAAGTTGCAAAAATGTCGCTTAAGCCAAATATCGTTGATCTATATTAAAAAAAAAAAAACAAAACAAGGAACATCATAACTGCCCACATCACACTACTCACACGAATGTCATTTAAAAACTAATTTGAACTTTTATCTAAACGCTAATTATAGTGATTATAGTGTGAATTTTTTAACGTTCTCGATAGCGTAAAAGTTAACTCAAATTTGTTCGCAATTGGAACTTTTGGTAACTTTTAACGTTAAAGTTTACTCATATTTGTATCGAGTTAGAACGTTTGCCTACGTTTGCCGCTAGGGGCGCTGTTCCGACTACATACAAATTGGAGTTAACTTTTACGCTATCGAGGGTGTTAAAAAAAGCTCGCACTAAGCTCACTGAGCGCATAGATGTAAATGCCGCCACTTGTCTTGAAACATGAGGCTTATATCTCAATAGTAGTCTCAATAACTCGCGCCAGAAATAGGCAAGGCGGCAGTACTTAACCTAAAAGCAATAATTCCAAGCCAATATGTACCAATTTGTTAGAACAAAACAAATAATCATAACGCAATAGCCTACGAAATGTTACGCGTGTATGACTGTATGATCTACAATAGGGATGAGCAACCTTTTTAGTCAATGGGCCAATTTGTATTTTTTCAGGGTTTTTATGACCAGGTAACTAAGACCTTTAAGTCATGTCTTACTTTATTTCATATTCATAATTTTATGAAAAATGATAATATGGCGTGAAATTAAATGAATATGATTAATTTGAGACATTAATCAACTGGGCTGAAATTAAATGAAATGAGATGATATGGGATGAAATATAATTTCAGTAAAATGGTGGTTATTTATTGAAATTTTTCTTTGGACTTTTTGAAGGATCCCGAGAAGTTACGTCCAGCGGCTTTGTTTCATTTTCCCACATTTGTGTACTTTCACAGATATTAAACAGTTAATAAACCACCGTTGATACAGATTTAAACCTGAAGAAACATTATATAGACAAAATACAACAAATCACACAACTTCACTCCTCGCGTTCCCGCCAAAGTCATTTTGATTTGTTTTGGCGGGCCGTACATAGCTTAACTCTTATTAATAATTTACGAAAATGTATTTATAATAAATATTAGAATAAGAAAATGTAAAACGAAAAAGAAAAGTAAAGTAATTTCAAATACAAATTTTAATGCAAGATGCAACAAGAAAAAAACAGAAAAACGAATTGATGGGAGAAAGTCGACAAAATAAATTCAATTTTACTAATGCTTGGCGGGCCGCGTGTTGCTCATCCTTTATCTACAATAAACACATATTTGAAGCGGGTTTAAAATGTTATTAAAACCATTTTAGTCTTCAACTCGGACTGTAAACCTATTAAAAACAGCAGTCACATAATGTGAACTGATGTTGATACCTCAAATATTAAGAGCACTATCTATGGTTGATGATGAATTGAAATATAAATAAAAGCTATGATATTTTGGCGGGAAGGCGAGAAGCGAAAACGAATTTTGTTTTGTTAATTATTTTTTTAAGATGTAACAATCAATTTAACTGATACTATTTCATCTCAATCTTACATTTAAAGTATCAATGTAGCATTTCGAAGAAGATTTTCGTAAAACACGACACTGGAAACAATTTCGTCCAAAGAGATCGATCTCCATTCTGAATATGGAGGGTAGAAGTAAGGAGCGCCATCTCTGTGCATTAAAAGTGTCCACTGTAAGGGAGCCAATTAAGGTGGCGCCACTGTGGCAAGGGGAAGGATTCATTTTATTTATTTACTGCTAAGATAGTTGAACAGGCTCACATTCCACCTGATGTTAAGGGGTTACCGGAGCCCATAGACAACTATAACGTAAATGTCGCCACTAATTTTGAGATATGAGTTCTAAAATTTCAGTTACAACGGCTGCCCCGCCCTTCACACCGAAACGCAACTTATAGCAGTAATGAAGCAAATTATAATTTTGCGGGTTTCATTTTTAATACACGATGTTGTTCCTTTACCGTGAAAGTCAATCGTGAACATTTGTGAAGTACGTATTTCGTTAGAAAATTTGGTACCCGCCTGCGGGATTCGAACACCGGTGCATCGCTACATACGAATGCACCGGACGACTTATCTTTTAGGCCACGACGACTTCTGAAGAGCAGTGCCAAAACTACCACACTTCAATCCGGCACACTTCTGCTTAAAACAACTATATTGAAATCATTCCACTTCCTACACTAGCGTTATTTCGGTGAGTCTTCCAACAATAACTTGTTGTTTACAGGCGAACATATTTTCAATTTGATCCCCGTAGGGACATTAGGATTAGTAGGGCATGCGGTTTTTTGCAACGCTTGATATGGTCAGTCGTACATAGCCCACCCGACACGTCAGACACTTGTGACAATATACGAAGTAAAATCGGAACTAACTTGTTTTATAAGAAGAGTTTACAGTATCGCATTAGAAACCGTACAATCCCTATACAAGATGGCGCTCCTTACTTCTACCCTCCACAGAACGAAAATCGTACAAAATGGCCGCGTTAAATCGTCACCAGTCCAATGGATTCTGCAGCGCGTCCCTGAAACTGAGGCTGTGCTCACTGTAGAACTGACCGAACCAATTCCTGAAGGTTCGTATCGTCTTATCGGTTTTGACGTAGGCAGGTGCGCTAACGAACCGCTTGCTGTTCCATATAGTGACGTCCCTCTCGAACTAAAACAAAAAAATAGTTACAGCGACATCTGTATTTCAGAATTGTAAGCTTTACAGCGACATCTATATTTCAGAACTAAAAACTTCTAACTGTAATTATAGTCAAAATTTCAAATAGCAATTCTATGTAAAAACAGAGTCGTTTCTTTATTTTATTCGTGTTAATAACACATGAAACTAGTACTAATATAACTAGACTGAACTGTAAAAACAAAGAAACGACATTTAGACTGTATTTTTGTTGTAAAATTAGTACGCAATACTAAATGGAAATTAATTTCATAACTTTATATTTTCATCATTTCTATCACTGCTCTTTTATTGACATTTGACTTTACTTCCAAGTATGAATATTTACGTATATTTGATAATTACCCTTTGCGAGTCTGACTGATTAATCTCAGTATAGAACTAGCTTGAAACCTGAAGAAGTACTAAGTTACCAATTGAAAATAAACTACACGATTGTCGAGATTCCTACCGAAATGTTCTGACATTGGCACTGACGTTTAGTACTCGATTTTTAGCGCCATCTACATTTTAAAAATTGGACTGAGGCTACGTTCACACATAGCCTCCGTGTATACGGTACCCGTTTTAACGGATACGACAAAAAATATGCTTTTATCACAAATAGGTACCGTATAACGTTCAACGTATCTGTCATTACTCCAATAAGCTTGTGAACATCGTGTGGATACGATGTTCACAAGCAAATTCTTAGTATATCGCCGCTATTCTACCAGGATGAAACTTATTTATCTAGCTGCACCACCCGCCGGCCCCTCACCCCCACTGGCGCCATCTACATTTTAGGAGCCGTAACATTATAACTCTGTGTCTTGCGAATACCGTCAAATTGTTTTACTTACCATGTACGCTTCGCACCTCACGAGGAACGCTCCGACGGGCGCGTTGTACGCCGGTGAGTACACCCGGTGGATGACCTTCTGCAGCAGAGGACCGAGAGGAGTCACCGACTGCGCTATGTAAAAAGGACCGACGCTGGTCTTCAGGAATAAACGGACATGTCCGGGGCCGATCTGCAAATGGAAACTCAACTCACACCAGGGAAATTTCTTGAAACAATTTCTATCAATGACAATGTTAATGCTCACCTAGTGTTAGGTGGTCACTGGAGCCCATAGATATCTACAACGTAACTGTCACCTTAAAATATGACTTCTAAGGTCTCAGTATAGTTACAACGGCTGCCCCACCCTTCGAACCGAAACGCATTACCGCTTCACGGCAGAAATAGGCAGGGCGGTAGTACCTACCCGTGCGGACTCACAAGAGGTCCTACCACCAGTAATAAAAGTAAATAAGGCAGCGTGTGTGTGGTTTTTCTCGGTATTCACTGCGCAGATGATAGTACAGTATGGAGATTTATAGTCCGAACAAAAGTGCTTCGTAAAAGTGACCCTTAGCATTGAGGAACAAGATGCAAGGAGGAAGAATAAGAGGTTTTTGGCTAAATCAAAATCGACACGATGTTAAGATTGCATTCTGTACGTCACCTGTGTAACTTTAACGTCGATGCGTGCCAAATCGTATTTGAGAACTTTATATTCTTGCGTGATGTGCATTAGCGATGTGTGATCGTCGGATTTCGTCCAATCTGCGTTCCATACATGTCGGCCTGTAACAGTATGATTACGTTAATAGCACCCCTTGTCGCTAGATGGCGGTAATATCGATGAATGGTTTCACATTCGTGTCGCGCGATGGCACTGTTCTCAAAAAATTTAATGGCGTATACAAAATCTCACTGTTTAGTTAATGATATGGAATGTTGTTAAAAATGGTTGAACAATATTAAAAGACTTAATTGTGTTTTCTGTACAATATTTTGAAAACAATATTTAAAGCCTTTATTTTCCACAAATTATTATTTTACACAGTATTACATTGAATCAAGCAAAACTGAACTCCTCTTTTTAACCGCCTTAAAAAAAGGACGAGGTTCTCAATTCGAGTGTATGTTTTTTTATGTTTGTTATGTCATAACTTTTGACTGGATGAATCGATTTTGATGATTCTTTTTTATTAGAAAGCTGACGCTTCCGTGTGGTCCCATTTTTTCCCAATTTAGTCCAGTTCTGATAATGTTATCCATGAGAAAACCATATAAGTTTTAAATTTGCATTAAGTACGTGCGCGACAAATAGATGAATAACTCAATATCACGCCAACCGATTTCGATGATTATTGTTTTTAGTGTATATTCATTTGTTTTGGAATATTTTTTTTCTATTTAAAGTCGATTTTTGTTAAACATGTCTATTTACAATTATTTCTCAATGACAGTTCAGTTCAGCTCAGTTAATCTATATAAGAAAAATCTTTTGTTTTAAACTAAAAGGTTTCACAGTTTTAATATATAAGTAAGAATTCAAAAAAAAAAAAGTTTTTCTTTACATACTTAAAAAGACAAGGGTTCAGTAAATTTTCGAAATATTGCGTTAAGAGCAGAAATAATGCGTCAGTCGCGTCTGTGTTTTAGTTTAAAACCAATCCCTGATCTACTGTGCTTATATATTTCAGCTTACCTATGATTACGCCCTGATCTACTGTGCATATATATTTCTGTTTACCTATGATTTCGCCCTGATCTACTGTGCATATATATTTCAGTTTACCTATGATTTCGCCCTGATCTACTGTGCTTATATATTTCAGTTTACCTATGATTTCGCCCTGATCTACTGTGCTTATATATATTTCAGTTTACCTATGATTTCGCCCTGATCTACTGTGCTTATATATATTTCAGTTTACCTATGATTTCGCCCTGATCTACTGTGCTTATATATATTTCAGTTTACCTATGATTTCGCCCTGATCTACTGTGCTTATATATATTTCAGTTTACCTATGATTTCGCCCTGATCTACTGTGCTTATATATATTTGAGTTTACCTATGATTTCGCCCTGATCTACTGTGCTTATATATATTTCAGTTTACCTATGATATCGCCCTGATCTACTGTGCTTATATATATTTCTGTTTACCTATGATTTCGCCCTGATCTACTGTGCTTATATATATTTCAGTTTACCTATGATTTCGCCCTGATCTACTGTGCTTATATATATTTCAGTTTACCTATGATTTCGCCCTGATCTACTGTGCTTATATATATTTCAGTTTACCTATGATTTCGCCCTGATCTACTGTGCTTATATATATTTCAGTTTACCTATGATTTCGTGCAGTACGGGATATCTCTCTCCGAGATCGCTAAGCAGCGAGGAGGAGTGGACGGCGTTCAGATGAGGAACATCAGCGCCATTTTCTGGTATTTCCTGGAATGAAGACCAAAAGAACGCTAGTTTTATTCTTTATTTTTATTGGTTAGATAGGTGGATAAGCTCACGGCACGCTTGCGACGAAGTGCTCGACGAGTAAAGTAACCCACAGACACAGCCCACTGAGTTTCTCGCCGGATTTTCTCAGTGGGTCGCGTTTCCGATCCGGTGGTAGATTCTGCGAAGCACAGCTCTTGCTAGGGCCAGTGTTAGCAACATTCCCGGCTTGAGCCCCGTGAGCCTACTAGTAAGTAAATCTAGAATAACCCCTCGAGGTTACTAGAATAGCAGAATACTAGAAGGTAGCAAAGATAAAAAAAAGCTATTTCTACTCGACAAAAGATGGCTCTGATATCAAAAAATCTCACCTGTATGTGAGCGCTGACTTCGAACTCGTTTCTGCCTCGATACCCGAACTCCTTGAGCTCAGGTGGATCGGTGATCTCCCACAGCGGCTCCCTGCCTTCAGCGTCGTGCCAGATCCAGACGGCGCCGTCTGTTTCCACCACGCACCAGGTCCTGATCGATACGCCTTTTGGTGCTGGAAATTTGAAGTGAGCGGCTGTCACGGCGCCTAGTGGCGTGTTCACGATCGATGGAATTGTCCGGGATGTATTTTTTGTTACTTAGACGGAGATGAATGAGCTCACAACCCACCTGGTGCTAAGTGGTTACCGGAGCCCATAGACATCTATAACGTAAATGCCGCCACCCACCTTGAGACATGAGTTGTAAGGTCTCAATATACTTACAACAGCTGCCCCGTCCTTCAAACCGAAACGCATTACTGCTTCACGGCAGAAATAGGCAGGGCGGTGGTACCTATCCGCGCGGACTCACAAGACGTCCTACCACTAGTAAAAGTAAAGTAAGCCGTCGCTTATGACGAAGGGTTCGGCGAGTGAATTAACCCACAGACACAGCCTACTGAGTTTCTCATCATCTCTCATCTCTCATCAGTTGTTCATTTTATTTTCATAATCAATAGTCAATTACAGTTCCCGAAGCGAATCGAAGGCCCTAGTACTAAAATAAAATAAAGCATTACCAATATCAGAGCCGGGCAAACTGACGCAGGTGCCGGCCGCGTTGAAACGCCACTTATGGAAGGGGCATTCGATACAGCTGCCACGCACCGTGCCGCCGACCGCAAGATTCGCGCCCAAATGCGGACAGTATGCGTCCACGCACCGGGCCAGGCCGTCCTCGCCACGGTACACGCACAAATTCTGACCTGCAATGATTAACGAATCACATCCAGCGTGGTTGTGTGTTTGACGCGAAAAAGCGACGCAAAACAAACGAACATTACATAACATAACACGATATTCTACAGCACCACAGTTACTGGTGGTAGAACCTCTTGTGAGTCTGCGCGGGTGGGTACCAACACCCTGCCTATTTCTGCCGTGAAGCAGTAATGCGTTTCGGTTTGAAGGGTGGGGCAGCCGTTGTAACTATACTGAGATCTTAGAACTTATATCTTTAGGTGGGTGGCGCATTCACGTTGTAGATGTCTATGGGCTCCAGTAACCATTTAACACCAGGTGGGCTGTGAGCTCGTCCACCCATCTAAGCAATAAAAATAAAATAAAGAAGCACGGTTCTACTCTAACACGAAAAGAAATTTCCCAAAACTCCTCTTATAACGCGGTACTTCTACAACACGATAATGAGATTTTTGTTTTTAAAAACATTTGCAACTTGATTTACATCAATGTAGTGTAACTTCTCTTTCGATCTGTAGTATTGTGGTTTTCTTCATTTTTCGTCCTTAAATCGGATTGCTCTTGTAATAGGGAATGCTGTGTATAAGAGATGCGACATGAAGATGATGTTCCCTATTCCACATTTATATTATATATATTTTAAATTATAGATAGAAAAATAAATATATTGTTACGCCAGTAAGAGTAACGACATCTATCGCCGAATAGTCGAACGAATATCGAAGGTTATACTAACATCTAGAACGCTCGAGAAGTACGACGCCATCTATTGTCAGATAGCAGAAACACAATACTCGACTTGAGTGGAAATTTAAAAGAAAAAAACGTTAATCTCACATAGTTTAACAGTGGATGGCAAGGTTTTTTTTTTAAATCGACAACTACATAATAGTGTTTTAGTATTCCTATTCGACGATATATGTCATTAGGCAGCTCTACAATCATCAAGGCTCGTTACCAGGAACATAGGTTGTATTTTAATACCATTATCGTCCATCGAGAAACGTAATGAAATTGTTATTTGAAATCACGATAAGCGCGTAATTCTTAAATTTGTTACAAAGCGAAAAACGTGCATTACAAGACACGAAAACTTTGTGACGTTTCAAACCTTGGTCGATAGATGTCGCTGTTCTCAAATTTACCGTGACATCCGAAAGAATATTTACCCAGGGCATCGATAGAGAGGACGCTGCCAACTTTAAGCTCCCTTGTTTCGGCGACCGCGAACCACCCATTGGGGTAGGGAGGGGGCAATTTGCTGCCCATCCGTCTGGAGGCTTGGGCGCGACTGATCCGCCTCCCCCTGTCCGGACCTTGAGGTATATGATCGAAGCCGACTTCTGTCAGTTCCTGTTTTGAAAATGAATGACTACAACGTTATTGCGTGCCTCTCTATCGCTCGTTCCGCGCTCTCGCTCAAGCTCGGACGGAACGTGACACTTTTTTATGCGTGCAGCCGGCGTTCATCGATTTTTAAGACATTATCACGTCATTTAAATTTAAACAAGATGATGACCGAGCTTTGCTCGGCTTTTTTTTTTGATAACGCCATCTTGGTTAGCTACCCTTAATTAAGAAAAATAGTGTTATTATTCGCCAACAGATGTCGGGAAGAGTTGATTATTGAAAACACGAATAAAACAATATTTTCTGAAAATAAATCGTAGCTAGATCAATTTATCGCCCCCAAAATCCCCTGTATACTAAATTTTATGAAAATCGTTGGAGCCGTTTCCGAGATTCAGGCTATATATATATATATATACAAGAATTGCTCGTTTAAAGGTATAAGATTTTAGTTACAAAAGAACAAAGTACACTTTCCGTCTCTTTTAAATCAAGCGCATACATTAAACTTTATGTTAAGCCGCATTAAGGCTTAAATTATTAAAATCGAAACAGAAGTCGTCGTGGCCTAAAGGATAAGACGTCCGGTGCATTCGTATCGAGCGATGCACTGGTGTTCGAATCTCGCTGGCGGGTACCAATTTTTCTAATGAAATACGTACTCAACAAATGTTCACGATTGACTTCCACGGTGAAGGAATAACATCGTGCAATAAAAATCAAACCCGCAAAAATATAATTTGCGTAATTACTGGTGGTAGGACTTCTTGTAAGTCCACACGGGTAGGTACCACCGCCCCGCCTATATCTGCCGTGAAGCAGTAATGCGTTTCGGTTTGAAGGGTGGGGCAGCCGTTGTGACTATACTGAGACCTTAGAACTATATCTCAAGGTGTGTGGCGCATTTACGTTGTAGATGTCTATGGGCTCCAGTAACCACTTAACACCAGGTGGGCTGTGAGCTAGTCCACACATCTAAGCAATTAAAAAAAAAAAAAAAAAAAAANCAAATATATGAAAATACAATAATGAGAGAAACGCGCGATCAGTACGAGGCTTTGTGGCGGACTGCCGGCGCAGCAGCCCGGCGTCACCTGCGATGACGCATTTCGTGTGACATGCGCAATCAGGCGCATAACGCATTTCGTGTGACATGCTAGTACGATTTTGGTCCCCATAATTTTCATACCCCGGGCCTATATATGTAAATCGATTCTAAAGGAGTAAACTCCAAAAAAAGTACAATTCAATTCAGTTAAATTTTTGGCGTTTACCAAAAAAAAGTAGAATTTTGGATTAACCACTTCAGTTCTAAGGGTGCGATATTATAATAAGCATTCATGTTACGCTACACAGCTATATAGTGAATATTAATACGTGAAGCAAAAACTTTGTACCCCTTTTTAAGAGAATTGCGCGGATGGAGGAGTATGTAATGTCCCACACTTATAGAGAATATAGAGAAGGAGTGCAGAGTGCTAATATTTTTTGTAAGTTATGCATTAATAATACATTAAATCGATATAAAAAGAAACATTACACACACTACCATGTATTTGACACACATATATGATATATTACTATACTCTTTGTTTATTTTTAAGCTTTTGTTTATTGTTTAAAGTCTGTGGTCAAATTGACAATAGATTAATATTGTTTATCTTTAATATTATTTGTCTATAGTGTAGTCTTGGCAAATTCTGTGCTCAAGAAGTTTTTTTTTTTTTTTTTTATGATTGAAGGATTACTGGTGGCCCGGAGGCCTTTCCAGTTTCACCAGGACAGATGGGCGAGCAAAGCTCGCAAGCAAAGCCCACTGAGTTTCTGGCCGGATCTTCTCAGTGGGTCGCGTTTCCGATCCGGTGGTAGATTCTGCGAAGCACGGCTCTTGCTAGGGTTCGTGTTAGCAACGTCGTCAGGTTTGAGTCCCGTGAACTCACCTTCTAGTTAAGGTTCCGCTGATTTAGCCTCTCAAGGCTTTCAGATTAGGTACGAAAGAAAAAAAAAGCGGGACCACTAGTCCCAATAAACTCACCTTTTTATAGAAAACAGGACTGATATATGACTTGTATATAACATAGAAAATCGCGGAGAACGCAAACATTAAGGTTAGTATTAAAATATATTCAACGATCGAACTGAATACGTATTTTGATGACTCAATCGTTATATTCTTTTGGAGTAACAGAAAAATGTTTGTTGTTTCTGCTTTCGGTCCGGTGTCGGGGCACGCCGTGTTCGAAGAGACGGCTTCCGTGATGGCGGATGGAAAATGTTGACGATCCGCCATTTTGTTTGTTTGAATTTGAGACAACAATCTCGTTCAATTCTGAAACAAAATATGTCACTTAAGCATGTCTTTTTTTGTAGGTAAAATATAATTGTGTTATTGACTTTTCGATTGATTGATTGATTATTTTTGTTTATTTTTTCTTATTAATTTATTTTATATTTGGTAATGTCTACGATCTCCACATAATTATGTGTAATTATTTGATGCGTTATTTTTATTACTCAAAATTTTATGTTAAATCTTGTAACGCATGTTTTTGAGTGTAATAATTATTAATAATAGTGATGTTTTGAGGTCGATTATATACATAGTAAATCGCATTTTGGTCCTCACGATACAGGCTATGCCTAGTGTAAGGATCATTGGTTAATTTTATATTGTCGATACCATCTGCGTAATCTCTCAATTTGTTAAATATGTAAATAGTATTATTATAATGTTTTATGATTTAAGAGTTTATGTAGTAAATAAATAAACTATTATATTATTATTATAATTGATATTATCGTAACTATCTATTATTAGCAGTAATGCGTTTCGGTTTGAAGGGTGGGGCAGCCGTTGTAACTATACTTGAGACCTTAGAAGTTACATTTCAAGGTGGGTGGCGCATTTGCGTCGTAGATGTCTACGGGCTCCAGTAACCACTTAACACCAGGTGGGTTGTGAGCTCGGCCACCCATAATAATAAGCAATAAAAAAAAATAAAAAATCAAACAGTTTGTGGATGTGAGATGTTATTTCGGGATAAAAGGTGTCCTATGCTTATCTCCCGATCTGATACTATCATATCAATATGTGGCTTCGAGCTAGGAAAAAGGACAAACAAACACACTTTTGCATTTATAATATTGCGCCATTCTAGAATTGAAGTGGCTTAAATTAAAAAATTAAGAAAATGATTTTTACACTTGTAACGACTTAATAAATAATCCGTTCGGATAAAATAGTAAGAAACTATTTTTTTTTTTAATTCATAGATGGACGAACGAGCTCACAGCCCACCTGCTGTTAAGTGGTTACTGGAACCCATAGACAACTATAACGTAAATGCGCCACCCACCTTGAGATATAAGTTCTAAGATCTTAGTATAGTTACAACGGCTGCCCCGCCCTTCAGACCGAAACGCATTACTGCTTCACGGCAGAAATAGGCAGGGCGGTGGTACCTACCCGCGTGGTCTCACAAGAGGTCCTACCACCAGTAATATGTCCCGGCTGTCATTAGGGCTGTGGCTATTTACCATTCGAACCGATGTGAATCATTTAAATATATAGATAAATACATTCTAAAAGACTTTTGTGCGTCACGCCCTAACTACAGGTAATATTTTGCACTAATTTATATTTGGTTAGTCGATTCTAAGTCGTTAGATCCTAATCTAATTTGATCATTGATTGCTTCCATTCAATTTTTTTTTCCTACCTGTGCTGATAGCCTTGAGAGGCTATTTCAGCTGCTGCTTCACCCTAACGTTCGTAGGTGAGCTCGCGGGGCTCAACTGGAGAGTTGCTAACACTGACCCTAGCAAGAGCAGTGCTTCGCAGAATCTACCACCGGATCGGAAACGCGACCCACTGAGAAGATCTGGTGAGAAACTCAGTGGGCTGTGTCTATGGGTTAGTTCGCTCGTCGAGCCCTTCGTCGCAAGCGACGGGTTCGACGAGGACGGTGACCGGCCATTCAATGTAAGATTATTAAAGTTTTAAATCGCGTTGACACTAGCAATCGATAGATGGCGTTAGTAGTATTTCGAAATCTATGCACGGTAGTGGCATCCTATTTGACTTTTAAAAGTATTTTGTTTAGCGCTATGACACGTCCCTCTTCAAATTAGATCAGAAAAGAGTTTTAAGCGGCAAACGGCTATTGCGAACCAATGGTGGCCGTTTACCGTCAAGTGAGAGGTGTTTTCGTCCGTCTAGTAAGTCAAAATAATAATTAGGTAGCAATTAGGTTAAGGAAGATCTCGTGTGAACTAATTAAAAAAAAAAATTGACTTACCGAATTAATTATTGTGTTTTTTTTTGCGTATTATATACGTCTGCTCCCTTCAACACCAGAACTCATACTGATCGGATAAAATCTCTTAAATCTTTATAAAACGCAAGATCAATTTATGTATACATGTTTTTTTTTTTCGTGCCTTCGTAAGCTGTTACTGTTTTGTATATCATTTGATTAAATGAATTCAAATTTACTGTAGAACCCTGCGCTCGGCGATACGAGACATTGTTTGTGATGTTTTTAACGCCAATTTCCTTAAGAATCGAGGCTGATATAACAACTGTATTGCTTCATCGCTATACTACCCTTCAAAGCAAAATGCGAGACTTTTAGAATATATTTTTTCCTCTATCTATTTGCTGGTAGCGTGAGGGCTATTCTAGCTACGCGTGGGTAGGTGAGCTCACGGGCTCGACCTGAGAGAATTTGCTAACACTAGCCCTAGTAAGGGCAGTGCTTTGCTGAGTCTAGCGCCGGATCGGAAACGCGACCCACTGAAAAGTTCCGGTGAAAAAATTCAGCGCGCTGAAAGTATATTTATCTATGATTGGTTCGCGGCAGATGTGGGCAGAAACACAATCCCTCCTTAAATTGCCAAACAGGAACGCTTATTGCGTAGTTTTATGAAATAAAAAAAATTCAAATACTATTATTTTTGTAGCATTTGATGAAATTTCATTCAGGATTAGGGATCAGTGGAAAATTACAATAGTGTGAGGATAAGTTTGTAGCGACTTTAAAACTAATATTAATAATAATTGAAATAAAAATAAAAATTGCATTTACATTCGCTTTTTTATTTTGATAACAACGCCATCTGTTGTTGAGTAACTAATAACAATTCCTTAACCATTCAGAAAATAGATGGCATTATACTTCAATTGTTTTATTTGATGGAACCCATTGCTAGCCTTAAAAATCCCATATTTAGTTATTTTATCATGCCTTTCAAAATTCAGTGTCAATTTTTGTATGGAGTTGAAACAGCGCCCCTAGCGGCAAACGGAGGGAAGCTGTTCCAAATTATCGCCATTTTCTGACAGTTCTAAAAAGATATTTCTACGACCGTCTCTAGAAGAAGATCTGTTTGAATGTTTTTAAAAGTAGCTAATAATTTTTTTAATTAAGATAGAACAAATAATGCGCCAATACAAAAACATTATTTATTACATAGATGAAAATTTTAAATGTTCAGTTACTTTCTTGTGATAACCTAAAATACAACCAGCTTTGTCGTTTTCGTATTTAAAAAAAACAATGGTTCCATTAAATTAATACTAAATTAATTCGGTATTTTTGAATATAAATGCAATTCACTGACAAGCGTTCTCGATCGCAGACCATTCAAAGAAGGATATGGTCGGTGTCAATGATCAGGTCATGGCGGGATCATCTCGAGAATTCCCTTTTGTACTTACTAATTTTGTAATGGAACATACGAGATAATACTAAAAAAGCCTCGTCTGTTTGACTATAATAGGTAAAAGTAAGCATCATCTCAGTGTATTAAAAGTTTCCCCGGATAGGGCGAATTAAGGTGGCGCCACTGTAGCAAGTGGAAGGATTTTAAAAACACCGCCTTAAACTATTAGAGTAGGATAATAATAAATTAAGAAGGAAAGAAACATTTTCCACTTAAATATTACCTAATAACAATTGTAAATATACATCACTTAACAAAAACCAACTTTAAATAAAAAAGAAAAGATATTAAAAAAATTTAATATACACTAAAAACAATAATCATCGCAATCGGTTGGCGTGATATTGAGTTATCGAGTTATTCATCTATTTGTCGCGCACGTACTTAATGCAAATTTAAGACTTATATGGTTTTCTCATGGATACCATTATCAGAACTGGACTAAATTGGGAAACGGGATCACACGGGAAGCGTCAGCTTTCTAATAAAAAAAGAATCATCAAAATCGATTCACCCAGTTATAAGTTATGAGATAACAGACATAAAAAACCATACAGTCGAATTGAGAACGTCCTCCTTTTTTGAATTCGGCTAAAAAGAGGAGTTCAGTTTTACTGGATTCAATATAATACGATTCACCCATTCAAAAGCTATGAGGTAACAAACATAATAAAAAACATACAGTCAACTTTTTTGAAGCTGGTTAAAAATAAAAAGCTGAGATTTTAAATACTGCTTAATTTTTAACTACACAATTCACGAAACATATTAAATTTTTCAATCCAGCATATTTCGCTCTGTTTGAAATTGCTATATTGGAATCATTTCCATTTCCTACACTAGCGCTATTTCGGTGAGTCTTCTAACCATCGATATATCGATGCTTCTAACAAATAACTCGCTTTTACAGGCGGACACTTTTTCAATTTGTCCTATGAACAAGATGGCGCTTCTTACTTCTACCCAGAAGCTTCGCGTTGTCCACAATATTATTTGACTTCTGAGGATGCTTTAAAAATTGATCTAAAATTCTAATTTGGGAGACAGTAAATACGCTAACAGTAAATTTTATAGATTAAAAATACATTATTGATGCTTTGACGTCACGGAACTTGTGAGAATAATGTATTTTGAAGGAATACGTTCGCGATCGCACTGCGTTGTAAGGTTGAATAATTGTGAAGCAAATATCGCCTTTATTTTGTAGTTTAGTAGGACGATTTATGCTTGTAGATCTAATGGCGCTACTGTCATTACGTTATGCGATATGAATTTCAAATAACCAATTCGACAGTGTTTTTCTCGGTCATCCGCTACCTTGTAGATGGCGGCCATTTTTTCGGGTTTTTAATTCGGCGCGAACACGTTCGGATACACTTTGCAGTTATCAAGTTTTGTTTATAGTCAAATTTAATTGTGATTTGACCGCTCTAACCGTTTCGGTTTGAAGGGCGGGGCAGCCGCTGTAGCTATACTTGAGATCTTAGAACTTATATCTCAAGGTGGGTGGCGCATTTACGTTATAGATGTCTATGGGTTCCAGTAACCACTTAACACCAGGTGGGC